TCTAACTCCTCTGGGCTAAATTCTGCCTCACACAGATTTTTAAATGATTCTTCAATTTGTGGAATCTTATTTTGTATTTTCTCAAAGAAACAATTAGAGTCTTCTAATGAGAAATGAGTGGAGTATAGATTAGAAAAAAAATTAAAGATTTCTCTTTCTATAATCTTACTGTCATTGCATTCCTCATCATTGATCAATAAAGTTGTTATAGAGTTCCTTTGTTGTCTACTTTTTTCCAAGCGGCTAAAGTACGCGGTATTCTTTTCTCCATCTTCTATCCATCTTGCTCTCGACCTGACATAAGCACCTTGAGCCTTTTGTAAATATAAAACATCTAATTTAGCTTGTAATTCCATTAATGCTGGACTATTTGGAACGGAAGAGCTACAAGTTTGATTAATTTCTTTGAACAAATCAAATTCGTACTGTTTTCCTTTCTTTCTGAGCTCTTTGCAAAAAGATATAGTATCCAATCTTATTTTATATTTCAAAAATTCCCATTTATTTATGTCATTTGTGATTGACTGATCAGCTTCCACATCCTTGAAAGTTTTTTTAATCCTAGTGCAATATTCCTCATTGTCTAATAAACTGTTGTTAAATTTCCAATAGCCTTTATTTCTCTTTGTTTTTGTACTAGGACCTAATATTAAGCTTATGAAGCAATGATCAGACAGCGGAGCTTTAGAGATCTCAGATGTTGTGCTGCATGATAAAAGGTCATCAGTTATTAACCAATAGTCCAGTCTAGATCTGCATTGCCCGTTAGGTTTTATCCACGAATATTCAGCAAGTCCTGGATTCAGTGTTCTCCACACATCAGCTAGGTTGTTATCTGTCATAAAACTATTTATCAAATTGTTGTATTGTTGTCTGCCTGTTCTTTGAGGCCACCTATCCAGCCATTCATTTGGAGTCATATTCCAGTCTCCCCCCAAAATGACATGGTCAGTGAGATATCGTGTTTTAAATTCCAGTATAACCTGAGATAACTCCTCCAGAAGAGCTCTGTTTAAACTGTCATTATTAAAACCATAAACATTAACTATTATGAGGACCAAGTGATCCATTTTGGTCACCACTGTTAACCAGTGACCCTGTGTGTCTCCTTTGTGTGTCAATATTTTCCCAGGGAAATTGTTAAAACAAATTGCAACCCCACCAGTTCGGTTTGTGCCGTGGCTGAATAAAATCTTGTCACCCCACTGACTAGCCCAAAAGGTTTCATCTGTGTTCGATGAATGAGTCTCTTGAAATAAAAAACAGTTCGATTTCTGTCCTTTCGAGAACAAAAATAATGCTTTCCTTTTAATATTGTCTTTTAAACCTCTAACATTGAGTGAACCAAAAGAAATCTCCTCATTTAACATAAAAACAACAACTACTAAAATAAGAAGAAAAAAGAAAGGGTCTAACCCCAAGAACTTTGAAAACAATTAACAAGAAATGATGCTCAGTAAGCGAGGTTGAACTGAAGAGCTGCATTTGCAAGTCTCTTTAATGTCCTGTTTCTCCATCTTATCTGGTATGCGTACCTTCCGTTCCAATTTGGCGTCCATCAATATATCCAAAAGGGCCACGAAAGTATGCCACCTTCCCAGCTTTTCTGGCTTCATCGATGAACGGCCACAGACGATTCCTCTCCTCCCAGTCCTCTTTGGGTAACATTTCAGCGAATTTGATGCCCTGTTCTTTGCAGTAGGTGGATTTTTTGGTCTTCCTCCAGATTTCTTCCTTCATTATTCTTCGAGTGAAAAGAACAATGACGTTTCTGTGTTTGCTTTCCATCTTCCTTCCCAGTCTGTGTACAACATCCACTGCCTCCTCCATCCTCGACTCAGATTCAGGAGCGATGTGCTTCAGAGTCTGTACAACTACAGCCCTGATATCTTCATCTTTCTCCTCCTTCAAGCCTTTTATACGAAGGCTCCATCTCATTCTGTATCTCTCCTGTTCTCTGAGCCTCGTTTTAAGGTCAGCATTCTCCTCTCGTAGTTGAACATTTTGCTTTTCCAGGTCTTTCACCTTTGCTTTACATTCTTTGACTTCGTTAGCATTAAACTCCACTGCTTTGGCTAGGCTAGCTAGCATACCACTGCTGCGAGTCACCTGTTGTTCAATATTGTCTACTTTCTCTCCAAGCGACATAATACTTTTCATTATATCTCTGAGAGAGACTTCATCCTCTCCTTCCTCTTCAACTGACCTGAGTCGTTTCTCCCCTGGTGACTTGTTGGGAGTTGAGGGTGCAGAGACGTCTCTTTCCCTTTTATTTTGAGCGGAGATTTCCATAGCGTAGCCGTGGTCTTTATTTGAAGCTGCTTCTTTCTTTTTTGAGTCAGCTTTAAGCTTGGTAGATTTATTAGTGTTCTGGGAAGCCATTTCAATCTCTTTGATGGAGAATTAGATTAAGTGATAGGTAAAATTTTGGTCTTGCTATGCGAGCTCCAAAAAAAAAACACTGCCACTCAACCCGCCATCTTGCTCCTCCCGAAAGTCTGCAATGTGCTGCAGAAGTTGGAGCACATTTTTCCAGACTCCCAAAACTCCCAAAGACTTTTCTTATTTTTAGCTCATTGCAAACCCTCCGCTGAGAGGAACCGACTGCTGATTTCCTGCTCCTCGTTATGTGGAAGGTCCAAGACAGCTTGACTCTTTACTCCCCCCCCCCCCCCCGCACCTCCGAGCTCTAAAGACCATTTGTGTTGCCACTCCAAAAAAAAAAAAAAAAGAATATCAGTGAGTGTCACATGCAGTTAAAAGCTTGGAACTCTGACTTTCCTGTTTTGAACAGAGAAAGCTCCCTGGATGGGAAGCAAAACGTCTTCAGCTTCAAAATATGGTTGTTTTATTTTATTCTTTTTCTTGGATTTGCCATGTCCCGGATGACTGAGAATCTACTCCAGCAGTTGTGTGGCCAACAACCTTCTGTATTTAAAGCTGGAGCAGATCATAGCAAAGGGAATATTTTTAAAAAAATTACCTTTTTTTTCTCCCTCAGTGGAGAAATTTGCATTGTTGCAGTAGAAAAGTGACAGATAACTCAATGAAAAATAAAAACTGGACAGTAAAATAAAAAGTTTACCGAATAATGCTACACAAATATACTTTTTAAATGCACTAAATAAAATTTACCAAAAGATAAATGCGAGTTAATACTTAATCGCTTCCATAATGTATGAAATAAATGGAAAAATACTCGGTACAATCGCCTTTTAGCCTTTTTGATGTATAAATTACCAACATGAAGACCAGTGTTGATTGAACTGAAAACACTTTCAAAGAACAGTTCTTCAAGCTTAGATCTTCATGGATCCAGTGACACGGCCTTAGCCCCCCCAGGAGTAATGGGATAGTCGGATGACATCAGTTTTTAGAAAGTATCCTTTAACCATCATCACTCTAATACAAACACTGCATTCCTTCGCCCCTCCCGGCCACCTGACAAAACATACTCTTTATTATCATTCAGGAATTTGCGCTGACATCCCCCTTGCTATGTCATCAGGATGAGCTCCCAGTAATGTAATTGGTCTTACAAAAACAAAATCGGAGACGTGATGGATGACACGGATTAGCTTTAATTCTCTTCTAACGGACAAGAAATCTCAGCACATAATTAACATCCACAGTGGTGAAAGTGGCCGAAGTCCTGCCTTTTGGCTAAAAAAATTAAAGTCCATTTGTTTCACCTCACAGAAAAAAAGTATTCAGCTTGAAATGGTAATAAAGATGTAAATCCATCACCAAACACGGGGCTAATTAGTCCCACGGCTGTACAGTTTTTACACACGTCATCGTCGTTCTTCAACAGATAATTTATTTAAAATGAATCCATTCATGACTTATTTTAAACAAGCACAACAACTAGTTATTGTTTTTAAAGCAGCTGTCACCAAGGTGCTGATTTTCTAATCTTATCCTTTCAGCTGCTGCATTTTTACCACGTGAACTCACCCATCATGTTGAAAAGGCTGTGCGGCGCAAACTGTCTCGGCATTTTCTGCAGCGCTTCTTTATAAACAGAGAGGGCCTCCTAAAAGCAGAAGAAAGTTAATTTAACAGTTTTTGCTTTGACTAATGAAAGCCTAGAGTAAATGTATTAAACTATATTGTGTTTAATACAAAGTGGCTGAACTCATCTTAAATAATCAATGACCATTTTATTGTAAAAGGTCATAAACAGAACTCTATTCTTGAAATAGTCTATTCTCGTTATATAAATGGTCACAAATTTAACAAATGGTTAAAAAAAAATCCTAATCCAGACACATTTACCTCCTGTTGGCCCTGCTCATGGAGCAGTTTTCCAAGGTTGTACAGGCAGCTGGTTACAGAGCTCTTGTGGGCGTGTGGATCCTTTAGGTTTTCATCAGGAATCTCAGCACATGTGAGGAAGGTGCGTTTTGCCTCCTCCATGTTGCCCTGGTTCATTAGGATTATTCCTGTGTTCAAGTAGGCCGCTGTGTGTCACAGTTAACAGAACAAAAGGCACAAATTAATAGAACCAACAACCGAAAAGGAAAAATAATCAAACACACTTTAGATGTTTGTGACTGATGGACCTGCTGTTAGTTGAATGTTTAGACCAGGGGTGCCCAGACTTTTTCAGCATGTAAGCTCCTTTTTTAAAATGACCAAGTCAAAGTGATCCATCTACCTACTATAATTCAATTCAGTTTTTTTTAAATAGCGCAAAGTCACAGCAGAAGTCTTCTTAGGGCTATAAGGCCCCGTTTACACAAGAACAACCTCTGGAAACGTTAGGGTTTTTTCAATGTTTATTGGGGGTAAAAAACAAAAAATGAGCAAGTTTACACAAAAACACTGTAGTTTCCGTGCAAGTCGGGTTGCCAGATACGAAATTATGAACTATAGTACGAAATTATGAACTCTAGTACTGTCTCTTAAAAATGATAGTATTTTGACCTAAATTGTCATATGTGCTGAGTAAAGATATTCTAAGATGTTGTGTGTGTTGAACATGTGCACAGAAAAGGAGGGGTAAATAAGACACTTTAAATTTATCTGGCAACCCTCACGCATGCAGCATTATCAATTATGTACAAACTGATGAATACATTAACATCTCTTTGGACTCTGGATTATTTTAGTTTTGCTCCTACATGCTGAAAAAGGGTGAGTAGCACAAAAAACACTCTGCTCTCTGTCATTTATAATAACTATTGTTAGTGCAGAAAAACTTTTGACTGCAGCCGCCTGTAGTGCACATGTGTGACTTCACTTGTGGAGCATTTCACGCATCTGTGTGTGTGTGGGGGGGGGGTGTTCCCCCGAAAATCTTTTCTCCGAGACCTGGATTCAGAAAACTTAGGTTTCAGAGAGAATGAGGACTGTTGTCTGTAAATGAACGGCTGTTCACGTCGTGTAAACGGGGCCTCAGACCGGCTGCCCTGTATGTCAATCAAGTGACAAATTTCATGGTTTCAGGCTGACATCTATTTTTAATGCCAAGCAATATGCCCATAATACCTTTGCGATCAACCGGTAGATCGCAATCAACTTATTGGGCACCCCTGGTTTAGACTGTTAAGACGTATGAACAGATCAAATCATGACTAAATTGTCTGTTTCTCTGTGGAGTATTTTATGAGGACAGTAAATGCGAACATCAAACTCTAACTGCTAAAAACCTAAAAAGATTGAGGGAAATGGAGGATGTGGATTATCTACAAAGATGTGCAGTAACATGATTAAATGGAGGAAAGAAATCAAGGTCAAAAGACGGATGGAATAAATCTGAAATGAGGAGGAACAGAAAAAAATTGAGCTTAAGCCTAAAGATTTAAAGGAGTTTCATCATCACAGAAAAAGCAGTGGGAGCTTTGTCCTCTTTCACAAAGTCATCCTTAGCAGTAAAACACGGACCCTTATCTCACACGCAAGCACTCAAGTGTGAGATTGAATGTTGTCATTTTTCTGAATAATGGGTCCTCGAGCTAACCATGCAGTCATAAAACATTCTTTACTATTAAAAGTGAGCATGCAGGCAATGCAAGAAAACATTAGTTTGCATCTAATTAACCCAAACAAAGGCCCAGCCAAAACAGAATAATCACTGAGATTCTACTTTTTGCTGATACTGCCTCCCATGAATCTTTGTAAACTATCTTATTGTGTATTATTAGCAAAATAAGACTCTACTTACACGCCAGAGTAGGCCGGCTACCAATGGCTAGCTTGTAATAATGCAGCGCTTCAGCAAAACGTTCATTCTCCTGCAGCAGCAAACCTCTGATGGATAGGAGAAAATTGTTGTGTCACTGCAAACCATTTCTATACGACTACGGAGCCGAGGTAAACAAATTGGTATTTAAATGATCATGGGTGAAATCGAAGAAGTAAAAACACTGCAAATGCTGTGGCAGCATAAGTGTTCCTTACTCCATTTAGTAATGCTTAAACCCAGAGTATCTAAACATCCATCATACTCAAATAGCTCCTCTGTCTTTAAGAGTGACATGCTCCAATTGGTTTTCCGTTCTTTTTGAAGCTTTGCCAGTTTCTCTATGCCTATTTAAGAGGAGAAGTGGGGAGGGGTAAGAAAATAGATCTGTTACTGGGTTTTGGCACCTTTGACACCTGCTGTTGCAGGATTCGAAATCAACCCTGCTAACATGACTAATCAAATCAGTCGCACGAGGTACAAAGAGCCCCACGGGATGCTGAAAGTTATTTTCTTTCCATCACACTTTTGCTCCACTTGAAATCCCGCTGCATTAGATCCGTTTGTTTGTATTCCAATCCGCTGCTGTGTGTTCTTTGCTCTGTATTTTTCTGTCAGTATTTCTTGGTCGGCTGCTGCTGTTTCGTGTGATGAATGAGGGGGATCAGGCTCCGTTCGTGTCAAGACTGCGCAAGTGAGGGAGGTGGAATAAGTGCCTCAAACACTCACAGGTTATAAAGCATGTCAGCCATGTTCCCTCTGTAGTGTAGAGCGTTCCGGTAAGCCTTCTCCGCCTCTGCCATCTTGCCGTGGTTCTTCAGAACATTCCCTAGGTTTCCCCAGGCTACAGGAGACATATGCCAGTCAAAAGTTACAAAATGGAAACCATACCATACCACTTCATTTATAGAGCACTTAAAACAGCGACAAGGCCAACCAAAGTGCTGTAACCAACACAAGAACAAAATATTCACAAGTGCTTTACTGTTGGTCAAAGCTCTACACGATTATAGAGGCCTAATATTGGGTCCTGATGTAAACTAATGTCATTCAGGTCTCTCTTGTAAATGAGTCCCCGAGGCTCAATGGGACTAACCAGTATAAATAAAGGTTGAATGAATTCTCACCTTTGGCCGGGTTTACATTGATCCCAGACTTGTAGAGATTTTCCTCATTGCTCCAGTCTTTGTTTCTCTGAACAGTTCTGAGGCCGTTAAGCAGCACTAGTCCACTGCAAAGACCCAACATTAGGACCTTGGAGCCTCGAGTCCTCAGTCTGACGTACAAGGTTCTTGCACCGGCTGCAACCAGTATACAAAAGCCTATGCTGGGAATATAAAGTACCCTCTCAGCAATTACAAAACCCACATGAAAAAATAAGTTTGTGGCTGGAAGGAAAGGCAATGCCAAGATGCCCAATGAAAACACTACTAGGTTTTCTGTAGGGGGCAGTGATGTCCGTGGGGAACAGTGGTGGGGTGAGGCAGATCCATTCAGGGTGGTTTTTAACAACCCCAGATCTGTATTTTGGTTTGGGTAGGGTACATGATAAACATTCCCATTAGTAATAGATTTCCCATTTGTCACATGGGCCTTTCCATTGATCTCTTTTGCTGTGAAAGTGGGACCTCGAAGGCCAAACAAAGTCAAAACAATAAAACCGCTATAAAATGCAACTGTGTGAAGGTTCCTCAGGTCCATTAAAGACCTGACTAGGGGTACGGCATCCATGGACCAATCGAAACTCAGCTTATCTGGGCAGAGCAGGAGCCAAGCATTGGCAGCAGGCAAATGGAAGAATGTTAGAGTTCGAGTGAGAAAATGTGACGAGTCCGCTGCAGGGTTGTCAGAGTTGGAGAAGTTGGGAGGCTTATTTCCCATCCAGTAGACACGAGCTGACAGCAGAATCACTCCCCATGAAGCCAGTGTGCAGAGACTCTGCAAAACACCGAGATTCTTTTTCTAGACAAGAGAAAAAAAAATACAAAAGCGAAACAGATTAATCAACACTTAGATCAACATTTTGTCTGTGCAGCTAGGCCTGTCACGATAACATATTTTACTGGGTGATTAATTGTCTCAAAAATTATTGCGATAAACGATAACATTGTTTGAAATTTGACAATAATTAGTATTTATTGTCAAATTTAAGAAGAAATGTTCATTTGTTTTGCATGTAGTAACTTTTTTGACCACCAGATGGCAGTATAAGACTGTTTAAACCAAAGGATGGATAGTGAGGGAGCGAGCAGTGTGTCTCTTTAAGAAAAATGGGAGGTTTGGTTTTCAAAGTGGTGGACGCTCTGTGTGGTTTGAGCTCTTTAGCATAGCATTTGTCAAACAAGACTCTTAATTAAAAAAGCAGTAAACAAGTTCTCAGCTTCTTTTTGCAGAGAAAAGCATCTTTTTACACGAAGGCACGGGTTTCAACCGTGAATTTTGGAGCTTCGACAAGACGGAGGTTTTTTCCAAAGGTCGGCCTGTTAGCTTAGCTTCTCAGCTTAGCTGCTTTTAACGATCCAAAAACGCGATTTTGGATGGTTAAAATGGATTTTAAAGAGAAAGGGAGGGGTCAGGGAAGAGCACCGAGGTTGAGCTTTTTGTCATCCAGTGTCTTCAGTAGAAAGAGAGAGCCGAATAAACGATAAAGCTGATAAATGAAAACGAGGTCGACGATTTTCATTTATCATGCGATTAATTGATTTATTGTTTATAGTGACAAGCCTATGTGCAGCTAAAATAATTTCACCCAGACACTTATTGCTGATTTATTTTAATTTTTTCCAAAGATTAAGTTATAGGTCCAGCAATCACACTACTTAAACTGCTAATAAGCACTCTTGGATACTTGTGGACTGTAATGATGGTTGCTTTTGGTAAGCAGCATTATCAGTCATTATATAATGGCATAATCATTTCAAATTGAATTTGTGTGTATTCAGTGTGGCGAAAGCGGAGGTTCATGTTCGGTTTGCCAATGAATTCTTCTGTGTCAGGGAGAGTTATGCTTTTAAGGATAATCCAATATTCCCAAAACAAAAAGGAGAAAGAAATCATAACATTTGAATAACTTTCCACATATTAGAAATTGACACTCCCCTCATTTGTGACCTAGTTGTGGTCACAACTGAGGGGAGTGAAGCTTGAGCAGCTTTTCTGTAGTCGTTCCTGTTTGCCTGTTAGAACTCCACTAAATATGACTGGTAATCAGCTTAAAAACTTGCTGTGCTGGTATGTAGAAGCAGTTTACATTAAAGCCTCAAAGAGCATTATTTGCATAATTGCAATATAGTCCTTTGTCTTTCAGTTTATACACTCGAACATTGGAACTGAAAGTAAATGATCCATTTACAAACATCCAAGTTTGAAGTGGCGTAGGCTGTGTCAACTGTAGTATTAATACATCACTTGGTGGGTGATTCCAGATCTGGTAAAAGACATGCATGTGTGGCAGTAAGGAGAATGAAAAGAGCAAACACACCAGTTGAGTTTGGTTTTGGTTTGTTTATTCTAGTATGAAAATCTGTTGCCATACTGACTTTAATATAACTGGTAGTAATGGATAATCATCTCCAAAATACTAAAGTAGCAACTGTTCAATTCAATTGTCTTTTACAGTGCACATTTCTGCCGGTAAGTAAGATTATGGTAGAAAATACGTTCTCCCCTGGTAACACTTTACAATAAGGTACACAAAATTTGATGAACTACTAAGGAACGCCTCAGGAATGAATCAGGAATAAATCAGGAGCTAACGGGTAGTTAACCAGTACGTACTGGGGAACACACAGCCAAGCCTTGTTAGGGGACTACTGGTTAGTTACCTTGTAAATGAAGAGGAACTAATCAAAAACGAATGGGTAGTTACCAAGGAAACCAAAGAGGAACGAATCAGGAGATAATGGGTAGTTGGCCAGTGTTTACTGGGGAACACACAGCCAAGCCTTATAGGACTACTGGTTTGTTACCATAGGAACAAAGCAGTAGGTAATGGTCAGGTAACAATTAAGTAATGATTGGTCCCTCAGTAAGTACTTGGTATGGTGCTTCACTACATCAGTGAACAAAAAATAGCCAGGCAATGATTTGGTACTCCATAAGTGATAGTCAGACATAGTTAAGATGACATCAGTACAAGATTATGAAACTGATAATTTCTTTCATCAGTAGGTTTACAAAAGCAAAAATCCAATAAAATCAGTAATCAATAGAAAACAGGTTTTTGACAATTATGAGCTGTGACCTCACTGGTGCAGGATTTATTCAGAACCCACACAGAGAATTTCTCCTCTGTTTCTGTGGTAACAAACCAGTAGTCCCCTAATAAGGCTTGGCTGTGTGTTCACCAGTAAGTACTGGTTAACTATCCATTAGCTCCTGGTTCATTCCTGAGGCATTCCCCAGTAGTTAATCGAATTGTGTGTACCTTTTTATTGTGAAGTGTTACCCCATAACTAGGTTCAGGGTAAGTGGTCTACCTTTGACTCGGTCTATCTGCTGGTGAATTTTAAACTTTTTTTTAATCTCAAGTTTGTTGATAAGAAACAAAGTGTTGTTTGAAAAAAGTTAGCTGTATAGGCAGGGAATGCACATTAGTTCCAGAAAATTGTTTCTCCGTAAGATTAAAAAAAAAGGTCCAGGGGTTTAAAGAAAAGGACAATGCAATACAGTGGATAACGACTTTGATGTAAAAAAAAAAAAAAAAAAGCATATAAATGATAAGAGTCTGTTGTACACAAAGAAAGCAAACGTTTATTGATGGATGAGCCCATATTGCCAGTTAAGAAGGGAAACTGTCTGCAAAATCCAATTCTGCTTGGTCCTGGAAGATAAGCAAATTCCAGCCAGAGAGTCATTTGTGGTATTTAGGTAAATGAGCTTCATTCTGCTCCTCGCTCTCTTGTCAATTTCCAAATCGTTCCTTAATTGATTTAGGAATCAATGACATCCAACTCGAGCTGCAGCGCAAGTCTGCTTTTTCAGTGATCTATAGCTTCAAATTTCCAAACTCGGCAATAACAAACTGCACTTTTATAGCCAACTTTAAGCAAGATTTCTCATGTGGTTGTTTTAGAAGCAACAAGTTGGTTAAATATACATTTATTGCTGAATTCTGGTGTACCTTTGCCTCTTCCGTTAGTCTTTTCTAATTATATAAGGCTTTTAAATAAACCTCCACCTTTTAGTTTTTGAATAATTTCCTTAATCACGCTGATCCTTTGTTTTTTTTTTTTTTTTTTCAGAGGCATCAATAACACTGGTCAAAAGTAATAAAATATCAAATAGGAACTTTGTTTTTAATTACTTTCAGACTTGTGGAAATTCCAGGGAGCTGGCTCTATATCGTACCAATTTAAACTTTTAAGCCTATATGTCTGCTCAAAGTTATTTAATTAAAATGCCCTTCGCATTAAATGGTGCTGTGCAAGTTCAGAATATGTTTTGGTGACTTGCTCTTAAATGAAAAGTCCTGATCTTTCCCTTCACTTATAATTACCCTTTGTAAATAAATATGTAGTGTTGGGTCAAACCTTTATTTGTCTGATAGTGCTTGTCATTACCATCGTTTTAATTAATTAATCCCAGAGGTCCGGGGTCTGTTCGACACTGTAGCCTGGAGAACATGTCAGAAAAAACAGCTGCCTTCAAACATGAGTTGTTTAAAATGAAGCAGTCCAGCAGGGAAGCAATCTTCTGAACTTTTCTTGTTGAAGTCACACCTAATTTAAACTGTTCATAACTTTCATTTTAAGAAAAAAAAAAAAAAACAGGTTAAAATTAATCATTTTAGAAGGTTTACTCAAAATCTTGTCATTCTGTCTGTAATGAGAAAACTTTCTGTTTAATTTTGTTGTAGAGCTGCACATGCAAAAACAATTAATTGGCTTTATAAAAGTGGGTTATCACGGCACACGTTCAGTATTTGGAGCAGCTTCAGTGACGCGCCTAATTGTGACGAAAGACCAAGTGAGGCATGCGTCCAGCTCTCTTTTGCCCAGTGCACTAATGTGTTTTGGATTGTGCTGACTTGGCTCAAGTCTTCCAAGTCATCAGACATTAGCATGGCTAGCAGTTAAAAAGATGGAGCTGATGGAGTAACCCAATTACGCTGTAGTTCTCTTCATTAAAGCCGTGCTACTGCTGGTAGGGACCCTTTTTAATGAGAAGGATCATAGGTTGAACCTTTTGCACGCTATTCACCGCAAATCGCTGATCAAACAACGTTCTAAGCAACTTCCTTTTTTAAGTGACGGAACAAACCACCATCATCTGCAGGACCAGCAGCTAAATAAAGAGCATGCAGCAGAACTTGCAACTGAGAACATCATTTCACAGCTGAATCCTTCTGCTTCAGGATAATCGGTCCAACGTTCATCAAGCCGTCAGCTGGTTAAACTGAACGTAATCTTTGTGTCTGCAGAGCTCATTGAGACAAATGAAGAGTTCACTTGCAAACTGTCAAGACCAGCGTCACATTCCTCCGTTGGCAACATGCCTCAGCTAAAATATTCAGTCGTCTTGTGTTTGTGCTCCAGGTGCACATGACTGCAGTAAGAGACTGATGAGGCGTGGAAGGAGAGGGATAAGGACGAGTGAGGAAATGTCTTGTATTTCTTTGAGAGCGCATCTGATTTGTCACCTTCGATTAAGAGCTTTATAACCACAATTCATCTGATAAGTTCAAAACTGACGTTTGTTTTTCTGTATCCTAACGCATGTTTAACAGAACAGTTAAGAGTTTGTGGCTTTTCTAGTACTAACAAAGCCTGTACTGATTTCATGGGTGCTGTCTAATGCCTGGAGCGTTATTCATAAAGAAGTTTGTATTTTCTTGCTACTGACAGACCAAAAGTGTTGATGAACAAGGACATTAGGGGTGTATTATCTTGGTAAATGAGACGCATTTTGTTTTCCTAACATACCGCAGCGTTAGCGCCACACCTTCCTTCATCTCCATCTATCACTTTCTAATGTCCTCTCCTATTTGTCTCGTCTTATTTGAAATCTCACCTCAATCTGATTAGGGAGTTAATAGAATGAGAAATGGAGGTAGTGGCGGGAGCACATCTGTCCCCTCGGCTCCACATCGGAACATTTGCATTTTGTGTGGTGGTAAATGGATGCTATGTCTATGATTGTTTGTTTTAGGAAGAACTTTTAAAAGGCAAATTGATTACAATGATTTTACATTGACTTGACTATAGATCTTTGCTGTTTCTCCACCTATAAACCAATTCCATCAAACTAATTGTGTCTCAGTGTAGGATACAAAACGGGTGTATCGAAGCCTTCCATTCCCAGTGTGCTCTAAGGGCATCAAGGGTGAAATAGGCTCAGAATAGATAAAGGAAAGGAAGTGAGAGCATAGTTTCCCTCTCCCTTGTTCAGTCTTTGTTTCAATACCCCTGTCCCTTTTGTTTTCCCATGCATCCAGAGACGTCTGGCTTAAAATCAAGGAAACGACTGCCCTCATGGCTGGCCCCAGCATGTAACGAGCTCCCTGCCAAGATAATAAGGACCGAGACTAGTAGAGAAGGCCACCGCCAAATCAATAAAGGAGCCAGATGTGCCCACAGTGGCGAGAGGAACAGGAGAGGCTTGGCATCAAGGCCTGATGAGTTGGCAATAGGGACTGACCAGTGTTTCTGCCTCTGGGCAAGACAATGACCTTTCTAATTCCACTTACTGATAAATATACAAACAGTACATTTTATTTTAGTGTCTGTCAAGCAATTTAAAGGTTTATAAAACTAAACATTAGACCTCAATCTTCTAATTTATGAAGTGACAAAATAAATACTGGCTCTACAAGAGGCCTTACTGGTAAATGATATTCAGTCACTATTTGTATTGAAATTACCAAATCTGACAACTAGATACCACTAGATTCTATGTACACAGACCCATCCATCCATCATCTTTTACCCGCTTCTTCCTTTTTAGGTCACGGGGGTCACAGGTGCCCATGTCCAGCAGTCGCTGTGCGAGACACCCCGAACAGGCAGTCCATCACAGGGACACATGGAGACAAACGAGACAACCATTCACTTTCTCACACCTAGGGACAATTTAGAGTTACCGATCAGCCTAACATGCATGTTTTTGGTCTGTGGGAGGAAACCGGAGTACCAGGAGAAAACCCACGCATGCACGGAGAGAACATGTAAACTCCACCCAGAGTGGCCCCCTGGCCGGGATTCTGTTCGGCAACCTTCTTGCTGAGAGGTGGCAGCTCTACCAACTGCGCCACCCCGATGCCCTATGTACAAACCATTTAAAAGTAAATAAACTCAAAAATCAAAAGGTTTACAAAAGTTTTATTCCATTTCCTTTGCTGCGTTGCTACTTATAGTTTAGCAGCAGCTGCTAAACTTTGACAGTAAGAGTGGAAAGACAGGTGTGATATATCTGCTACGGTAACATCTGCCAAACACACAGGAGTCCTTCTGCCTTTGATTTCTGATCTCTCTGGGCCATTGAGTGCAAACACTTTAGTTGTGGGTTATTGTTCTGCCAAACAAATACTGGAGCCTCACAGGTCCAGCAAGGTCACACGAAGAAGCGTTTAAGGATGTTTGTGATGGGCTGCAAAAGGTTACACAGCAAGGAAAGGTATTTATAGATGTTTCCACAAAAAGAAACACTAAAATATACTCTTGCACACTCTGAGCCAGACTGTCCTTGCTCAGTAAACCCAAGGGGACTTTTTATTCACACTTATGAGGGCCATCATGTTGGTTGTAGAGATGTTCCTCTGATCAAACGAGGAGCCCCTGAATGACGAGGCTTTCCAATCAAACACAAACTCCTATAATCAGATGAGTCAAGGTTGTCCTCCACAAATGGATTGGGTTTGGAAGGGGAGCGGAAACCCTGCAGAGGAAGCACATGCTAGGTGTGTGTGGGTGTGTGTGTATTTTTAGACGGCTTACCTGACAAATGAGCCAAATAATTTACCTCAGAAGCATGCACGTTTGTCTGTGCATACCTTTCGTCACCTTTAAGAGCGCTTGAGACCCGAGCCAAGAATAACTTTTCTGCTAGAGCTGTTTCCATGAATGCGCACACACACGCACTTACGTACACACACACACACATGCACTGAGGCTTAGATCTTAATTTAGATTCCCATGCCTGAATTTGCATCTGTTTACTGCTATGGTAGTTGGTGGCAGCGCCACAAGGAAGTGGAGACTTCCCTCTCACATACATTTTCTTCCTGTTTAGCCGACTTGAATAAGAAGCACTTACTTTACATCCACGCAGCAAATAGCTCTCCTAATTACTTCTCCTGATAAAAACAAACACACAATTTACAAGCAGAGTATTCATTTACCTTTCCTAAGAGGAACAGTGCCTGTTGAAACCGAAGTCTTTGGAACACAAAGAGGTCATACACAGCTGACACAGCCAGTACGGTCACCCCCTGCTCCTTCCACAACATGCTGGCAGCTGCACACCACAGGCTGCCCAGCATCCAGCCCCAGCATCTGGTAGCTGAGCTGCCACCCCATCGCCTGCTCCAAACGGCTCCATGTGGGTCACTTCGAAGCTGGCAGTGTCTCTGGTAGCAGAGGAGAGAGAGCAAGAAAAACAAAGCGGCGCCGACGTCCGCTCTCCCGACCACACCGGCTACTGCTTCAGTGTGCACCGGGTGGGAGGCGAAAAGCAAACCGGCCAAAAGGCTCCACAGCCCCGCACCGAGCAAAGAGCGACTGAGCGTCGTGACAAAAGCCGTAACCAGGCCGTGCAGCACAACGTTCAGCAGGTGGTAGCCCCAGGGGTGCAGGCCATGCACGGTGTAGTTGAGACGGAAGGAGAGGGTGCAGAGAGGGCGGAAAGATTTGTGGCTGCCGCTGTGGGTGAGCAGGGTGCCCCAGAAGTCATCGTACAGGATGTTGGTCCACGGAGTATCCGGGAGGAGATCCTGGTTTGTCTTGATGGCTCGACTGAAAATAAACCAAAAAACAAAGAAATTCAAAATTCTTTGATCACTTCATACACATTTTTTTTTTGTTCTGAACAGTTATCTGCACATTTTGCATTCTACCATAATATAATGTCCATAACACCAAAATTACCACAACACAATTTTGTTCCACCTCGTGTGATGCCAATGACAATAAAGAAACTTGGACTTAATAATATATTAATATAAATCAGCTGCAACATTTTGTAATTGGCCACAAAGATGTAAGTGCACTGGCCCAGCGTGTACACGTCGTTGATACCTGCACACACACGGACAGGTGGTTTCACACCCCAGGGCTGTGGGGATGTTTACATAATTAACGAATCATTAGCAATCATTTGTGTACACTCGATAACTACAACAAATGCCGCTCACCGGGGGGGGGGGGGGGGGTGTTAGGAGTGATGAATGGGTTGCCCATGAGCCCTTAGGGGGAATTCTTCACTGAACATAGGTTTTTAAAGCTGATTTGGGAAGGAATTTAAAGACAGAACCAAGAAAGTTGGCTTGTCGCAACTGATGACAAAGACGACGCATATCTGAAATTTGAAGGAATTTTTTTATTGTGTGCAATCTACAAGATTCGTTCCAAGTCAAAGGAGAGGGTGTTTTATTACAAGGATTTGCATGAGCGGGGTCTTTATAAATCATGTTATATGTATTATTGTTTGCTATGTACTGCCTGCACCTATGTGCATTTAACTTTGCATTAAAACCTTAATTAATGGGCAGAAGTTTGCCAGATTGTATAACAATAATGGGTTTGGAGTCACCAGGAAGTTGTCCCTCACACCAAACCTTACAGAGCGGCTTGCCATCAACCCTTATCCAGCCCTCAGATCAGGACACCAGGACCTCACTATTCAGGACGAAGGCAGTCGGTGACATTTGGTGGCAGAGTTGATTGATAGCCAAGCCCAGATTAGAGCTCGAATCAGGTGGTGGGGTGACCCACATTAAAAACGGTGATTCATTGTTAAACACAGGACAGAGGCAACTTACCCAGGCGATGGGAGGACCCAAGGACTGGACATGAGCCCCAAGGATAGAGAACGACAAGAGAATAGACGTACGACTATTCTCATTGTCCAGAACATGACCGTTAAGTCAGACACTGCTGTCATTTGTTTTAAACTACTTTTTCCACAACCTGCATTTTGAATTGTTAAATTGTGACAGTTTGTGAGTCAACTTTTACCCATAGTCTGTACTTATTGTAACGCAGAGGTAATGGTGAATGTGGTGGATGAGTGATGCCTGTTTTTAAGTATAATAGGCTACTGCTGAGCATGAGACGACTATTTTGTTGATTTCAGTGCGAAATTAATGTACATGCTTTTAACAGGAACAACTTAAGGTGATAAACTTACAAAGGATGTTTAGTCGTTTAAAGTCTCAGGTAGACATAGGTCGCACAATATGCTGTAAGCCCTAACGTCTCAGATTTGCAGGAGTTATTTCTCATCTTAGTAGTTTCACCCTACGCTGGATGTCTCTGCCTAATGGGAAACTTCAGGCGAGTCTCCTCCACCCGTGGGACTCTCTGCTAAGTCCTGTAGCTCAGCCTAGGCCTGTCACGATAAACAATAAATCAATTAATCGCATGATGAAGGAAAATTATTGACCTTATTTTCATTTACCGGCTTTATCGTTTCTTTGTATCTCTCGTTCTACTGAAGACGCTGGATGACAAAAGGCTCAACTCCGGTGCTCTTCACTGACCCCTCCCTTTCTCTTTTCCCTTTAAAATCTGTTTTAACCGTCCAAAATCACGTTTTTGGATCGTTAAAATCAGCTAAGCTGAGAAACAAAGCTACGAGCTAAGCTAACAGGTCGACCTCGGAAATAAACCTCCGTCTTGTCACGCTCCAAAATTCACGGTTGAAAAACCCGTGTCTTGGTGTTAAAAAAAAAAAAAAAAAAGTTCTCTGCAAAAAAGAAGCTGAGAATTTGTTTCTTGATTTTTATTTTATTTTATTTTTTAATTAAAAGCTTTGTGAAAAATGCTATGCTAAAGAGCTCAAATCAACGAGCGCCAGCTATATCACCATTCCAACACATGTCATGTCAAGGGCCTCCCTCCCATTTGTCTTAAAGAAACGTGCTGCTCAATTATCCATCCTTTGGTTCAAACTGTCTTATACTACCATCAAGTGGTCAAAAAAGGTACTACACACCAAACAAATCAACATTTCTTCTAAAATTTGACAATTATTGTTAAATTTCAAAAAAATTATCGTTTATCGCAATAATTTCTAAGACAATTAATCGCCCAGCAAAATTTGTTATCATGACAGGCCTAAGCTCAGCAACTTCAGCAGAAGTGAAAGGCAAGTTCCTATTGAGCTCCCAAACCACAGATTCTAACTTTATCTTTCATTTATTTAAACGGATAAATCACATTGAGCCTCGAAGACTCATTTACAAGTGAGACCTGTTTGGACAGACAAAAGCAGTGGTTAACTGGACACATGTAGGAGTTGGAGGCGAAAAAAATTCCTATCAGACTTTTTTTCTTGGCTGAGAAAAACCTCTAATATCTAACTGAAACACTGCAGAAAGAGAAAATACTGTGGAAACTACTAACGTGTGCACTGACAAATACATAAAAGCAGCTGAGGGGAGGACAAAGAGCAGCACGCCTCCGAGAACAACACAATGGATGCTGATTTTCAATCAAGCCTTACTTTTTATGTGCATTAAACTTGCATCATGCTAGCACAAAAAGCATCATCATTATGTTTCCAGGATTGAATTCTCACTGTCCAATCAGTCTCTCTCGGGGTTTGATTAAGGTTTGGTGCGTTTCTTTGTTCATTCATGCCACACAGGAGATGAAAAAAGGGGGCCAGTCTGGGACTTGCTTTGTCTGAGGACTGTAAATCAGAGCTGAGTGCAAAAAGAACGAAGACAAAGCAAGACTGAGCTACCATCCTGTGAAAGGAGATTAACTGAAAGGCTTAAGTGGAAAAAAAAAAAATAGATAAATAGGTGAAGTAAAGCGGCACATCATTCTGCATCTAAGCCATAACTGCTCATTTTAAAGGCTGAAATGTTTATTCCGTACATGCCTACCGCTCTGTAATCACTTCATTTCCCAGGATTGTTCTGCTGGGGAAAAGCAAATCTGCGTTTCTCAGGCTGCTGAGAGTGGAACTGTTTCTTTGCTGATATGTCTAATCGCCCACCGCATTACATCATTCAGTTTACAAACTCTTCCTCCTTTTACTGTACTTCCACCGCAAGCTATTATTTATTAAAACAAAAAAAAAAGTACAGTGCAGAAAATGATGCGCGCGAGAGAGAGAGAGAGAGACCTTGGGAGACGAGAGCAATAATCAGCAGTGAAAGTTTTATTTGTTCTGCTTGGAATTCAATACCCCGAAAGTGTAAAAAGGAGGAATATTTACAGCCCAAACTACACCTGCCATGTTTTACACTGTCTTGTCCCTTAAGGTATTAATTTAGGATGGGTTTAAAGCCAAATGCACTCTCATCCAGCTCCCTGTGCATGAGTTGGGTTTGACAATAAATAATAAAAATGTTTAAAATCAGACGACTCATCTGCTCCAGGAGGATGAAAACGGCTAGAGGCCTGTGGACCGGACAGGTCTAAGCATGCACCTTTAAAGACTAAAGGAATAAATGGTTACATGCGATGCATCCGTCTTTGTTTATTGCAAGTGTGAGCACATGTGCGGCGACGCGGCCCTGCGTTGATGGCTCCATTGTGGTCGGTGGCTGCGGCGGCGCAGACAGAGAGGCCTCCTGTAGTGATTGCTCTTACAGAAGGGGGTCTTTTGTATTCAATCACCGTATGTGGGGCAGGCAGGCTGCAGGGCGCTCATTCACAATCCGTTAAGTACAGGACGTTTTTAGTCCTTTGGGCTCTTTTCAGTCTATACCCCCTTTTCTTTTCTTTTTTTTCTTCTCTCCTGGATGCGGGAGGCAGAATCTAAGGGATTTTCATTACGTTTAAGAAGATGGACAGGAGATTTTCTTATTTATTTATTTATTTATTTTTGATAGAGTGAGGTCTTTATTCATCGTTGTGCTGCTGTAAGTGGAAAGTAAATGATCTGCCTTGTGTTTGGGTTTGAGTCCTTTCAGTATGTAAATGAGGCACTCCACTGCCTCCCAGACTGTGAGCGCACAACCACCCATTTGCTTCTCCGTGTCCCGGGGCAGCTCATGAACACACAACAGACCCTTTTTCTTTAATATACATTTTGCTTTATTTTATTCTTAAAAGTAGAAAAAGATACTTGCCACACAAGTCAGACCTCCTAGTTGATTGCATTTTCTTAAAAAATAAAAAATAAAACTAATTCAAACCACTTGTTGCAAAAGAAAAATTATAGTAAAAACAAAAAAAAATTGCACCTTTCAACCACAACAATCTTGCTGTTTTTGAAGTGCTTTACAGATAAACTAGTAGACGTTTAAAATAGTTATACAACTAAAATGAGCAGCTTTTATTTTACTTTAGACTGCATGAAAGAAAAAGCTGCACAGTTGCATCTTCTCATCACTCGCCACCAAAGACAAAAGGCAATCATGTTTGTCGCCCATACGATTTTATTTCTATAACCAATACCAAGTCCTTTGTGTTATAACATCTTCAAAACTTCCTTACTTATAATATTTCTGTATAATATTCAAAGCGATGCAGCAGCCATATTAGCTTTATGCTGTGAGTAACAAATTGATTTGTTGTCATAAAGGCTCCATGTTTCTTTACATAAATACTTAAAACTTTGGTTATTATTGAGAAATTAGGCAAGAGTTTTTATTTTTTTATAAAAATACACAAAGTGGACATTTTTAGTCTATAGGGCAAGAAAACCGTATGCAGAATTACTATTACCAAGTCCTATATTTTTGTGCTGCTGCTGTTCGGCGTATTGTGTTTGTACTGCTAGTGCTTAGCGTATTCCAAGTTTAGCGTATAGTTCATATCTTAGATCTTATTACTGTTTTTCTCTGTACAATTTATACTTTTGTTGGATATAACTGGGACCCTGTGTACACAATTTCGTTCCACCACATGTACCACATGTGGTGCGAATGGCAAATGAAGAAACTTTGACTTCAAAGGGAGTTCTTTATTCTCTGATTTGAAAGAACATAAATAAATGATTTTACGGTTTAATGACCCTGTTCATTTTCTTTATAACCAGGCTGTTTGAACTTGAAAATAATTACTATATAACAGTCAAAATCTTACAGTAAACTTGTTTTTTAGCAGCTACTACAGAAATTCCCATCAGTCAATGAAGCTCTACAGAAAGCAACACGTATAAGCTGGCATGTAATTCATTATTTCTATTATTTTTAAATCTGTGTTTGCATAGATTTCACATACAAGTAACCACTCCAAACTCAGCATTGACTACAAGATTCAATTACTACAAAGTCACAAATAGTCTAATAAAACCTCTAACATTCTGAAGGTGACAGATTTCAGTTTGTGCCCATGTCAAACTTCTGATGAGTCTGATCTGAACATTTGGCTTCTGGTCCTGTTCTGTCTGCAGCATGTGCACAGACCCTGCTCCACATAATAAACCTGTCCAGTTCAAACTACCATCACTTAACAGACCCAGAACAGGCAGAATGTCCGTCTTTTATGACGGAGTGCATCCTCCCACTCCCTGATGGCAATAATCAGATGCATTAGCTAATCATCCTAAAGCTGAACTGTTCATAGATACTGGCCTGGCCGTTATTTCCTGAATATCATCACCTCTTGGTGCAGTTTTTTTCCATCCACTTCTCACCCATTAGCCTCCATTATATCTTCCATTCACCCACTTCCCCATCTTCATTAACATTTTTTGTTTCAGTAATGCTTTTTATGAAATTGGATGATCATCTTTCAGCTTTTTTCCTCTTTTGGTGTTATCATCATCATCTGCTCTGCTTCAGTACCAAGCCTTTTACAGTACCCCCCATCTGAACAAGAACTATTAAACTTCCATTTCCTTAATGAGCATATTGAAGCCTAATTAACCACAGAGCCATAAAAATGCAG